CTAATATAACTGGGGCCAAACTGGGATCGCCTGCATTTTGGTTACATATCTAGGGACATCTGGAATCTCGTAGTGCGTACACTTGACCCAGAAAGTCCTGAGGAGATGGGCAGTCTGGTTAATTAACCGAGCTATTTGGTGTGCATTGGAGGTGACTCCTGCCATTACTTTAGATTACTGTCGTATGTGTTATTAGCACTGTTTCAGTTACCTAAGACTAGTGTTTTTCAGTAACTGGGCTATACTTGAAACTAATAAACATTAAAAATAGTATGAAAGACTCTTTACAATTAGGAGATAGGCATGGTCAAAAGGACCTAACTGGCAGTCTGGTCTTCCTTTCTGTTCTCTTTGCTGTAGGCAACACGTACCTGTGTCTGGCAGTTCTGGACAGCGTTCTGTGTGTGATCTTCCTGCATGGCCGTAGCAGCCCTCACAGCTCTCCCATGAGCACGCCACGCCTGCTGAAGAGTCTGAGTTTTGAGCTGCAGCCAAATGATGTAATAGAGAAGCCCATGTCTCCCATGCAGTATGCTCGGTCGGGGTTGGGCACAGCTGAGCTTAATGGCAAGCTAATTGCTGCAGGTAAAATAAACACTAATAATAATAATAAACTTGCTTGATCTGGGGGGCTCAGTAAACAATTGAAGCAATGGATCTTTGGAGATTTGGTACCATTTAATGTTTTGCCTTTTCTGTTAGGTGGATATAACAGAGAGGAGTGTTTGCGTACAGTGGAATGCTATGATCCACAGAAGGACACTTGGACGTTCATTGCGCCTATGAGAACACCCAGAGCTCGGTTCCAAATGGCAGTTTTAATGGTGTGTGGAGATGAGGTGAAATGTTGAAATTATGTAAATGTAGGTGGGACAAATATTGCAAGTGTCATAAAATGGTAACAGAAGTTGTTTTATTGTGTTTACAAGATGAGTAGGGTGATAATGAATTGAATCGTTGCCTACTTGTGAGTGAAACGGGAATTCATGTTTTCCATTTAGGGGCAGCTGTATGTTGTGGGTGGGTCAAATGGTCACTCGGATGACTTGAGCTGTGGGGAAATGTACGAGCCAGAAATAGATGACTGGACTCCTGTTCCAGAACTGAGAACCAATCGCTGCAATGCAGGTAATCAATCTGCAGCTGATCAACAGCTTTTGTTTTTTCTTTTTTTAATTTAACAGCTTGCTTACTGTCATTTCCTGTATCAATAGGAGTGTGTGCCCTGAACGGAAAACTGTACATTGTTGGTGGTTCAGATCCTTATGGCCAAAAGGGACTTAAGAACTGTGATGTGTTTGATCCCATAACAAAATCTTGGACAAGCTGTGCCCCCCTCAATATTCGTAAGTTTGCCGTGCAGCTGAGAATCATAGAATCATGGACTTGCTCGGGTTGGAAAAGACCTTAAAGATCATCAAGTCCAACCACGACCTGACCACACTACCCTAACTCTAACAACCCTCTGCTAAATCGTGCCCTTAGCACCACATCCAGATGGTTGTTAAACATCTCCAGGGATGGTGACTTAACCACCTCCCTGGGGAGGGAGGGGAAGGAGATCATAGATTCAAAGCAGCTGAAATTTACAGGTTGTTTTCTGTTATGGTGTGGTGTTAGTGCAGGGCCTCTGTGCTGAGATTTAACTTCTGGCATTTGCTTGCAGGGAGACATCAGTCTGCAGTGTGTGAGCTGGGGGGCCACCTGTACATCATCGGTGGGGCAGAGTCGTGGAACTGCCTAAGCAGCGTGGAGCGCTACAATCCTGAGAACAACACCTGGACCCTGATGGCACCCATGAACGTGGCTCGGAGGGGAGCTGGAGTGGCTGTGCACGACGGTAAGCACATACAGGCTTAAGCAACCTCATTCACTTCCTGAATTTGTCTTTGAGGAAACATTATAGGAAGAACCTGGCTATGCCTTTAATCAATTAAAAACTATAACAAGAAAAATAAGTATTTAAATATTTATTTTAGGAGCTCTGCCCTTTCTTTTCAAGATATCACACTGCAGCTTCCAGACTGTGACTGTTTGAAATTAGGCGCTGGAAATTATTTCAGACAAATCAGCTCTAATGAACAGGATAACCCAGCTGATCAGTGCTGTGACTTCAGATCTTGAACAAGTGAAGGTTTCTGACAGGAAACCTCTTTCATTTTGGTGTGATCTCCCTTGAAAAAGGGAGGCTGTGGTTGGAAATGTAGAGGATGCTTAAAAACTCTCATTTTTGTCTCCTTTGCACAGGAAAACTTTTTGTTGGAGGAGGATTTGATGGCTCTCGTGCAGTGAGCTGCATGGAGATGTATGACCCTGCTAAAAATGAGTGGAAGATGATGGGAAATATGACCACTCCAAGAAGCAACGCTGGGATTACAACAGTTGCAAACACTATTTATGCAGTTGGGGGATTTGATGGCAATGAATTCCTGAACACAGTTGAAGTCTACAACCCAGAATCAAACGAATGGAGCCCCTACACAAAAATTTACAAGTTTTAAGTGAATTAAAATCCCATTTCAAACTAACAGGCTTAGTGATGTAATTGTGTTTTAGTAGAGGTACACATGTGAATAGGGCTGGGGAGGGCATAGATGTTGCTAACAGCAACACAGAGCTTTTGCATATTGCATATTAATATGCTGTACATATTTGTTTTGGAAAGAATATTGAGATGAAGGGGTTTCTGGTGTATTTTAAACTTTATTTTAGTTTTTTAAAAAGACTTTGAAGATACTGCAAGAGAACCTAGATTGGCGGATCATTTCAGGAGCTTCCTCCAACATTTGTTTTTGTCACTTTGCACATTAAGCAACTTTTTTTTCTCATAGCGTGTTCTTGGGGCAGGAAGTGCAAGGACTGTGGGGGATAGTTTTCTCATCGGGCCTTGTTTTTCTTCAGTAACTGAAACAGTCTGTAACAAGCCTTATTTAAACAGATATAATGGATTTTTTTTATTAAAAAAGTACATGCCTGCCACTACCTTATCTTTTATGATTGTCTTTTTATAACGGTTTTTATATACTCAGCAGAGTGTTTTATCTGTTGAAATAAAAATGACAGATAAAGTTATAGAAGCAAGGAGGCAGCCTTGGACTTCACAGCGAATGAGTGGGATGACTGATTTACCCCTGTATGTGAGCTTCTGACCTTTTGCCTCTGCTATAGTATTGCAACTTTGCATGCAGAACTTTGATGAGATGGGAGCGGAGTTTCTGAACATGATGTAGCTGTGACTTTCCAGTATGGAAAAAAAGCCAGTATTTTGGCTCCAAATACTTTGACAAAAATGGAGGGTGATTTCTGTACAGCAGTTTTGCTACTGTGGTTGACCTAACATTTGTGAAACAAACTTAAATGTGGGGTTTTTCTCATGATTTTTAAGCTATTTCTGAGTTGGCAATGAAAATGTATTCATCTGATCTGATTAGTAACTGTCTTATTTTTCTAATATTACTTGTCTACAACCAAACTCTGGTAGAACACATAAGAAACATAAGTTTTAGTGTTTTAGTTCACTTCCTCTATTCATACAGATAACGTGTTGGCTTGGATGACTAAATGTGTCTAAATGTGTAGTTGCTGCACATCTAACTCCAGCTGCCAAAAGCAGCACTTACGGCTTGCTGATAATGCATACACATTAAAGGTACCTTTTGGGAAATCTTTGCACCACAGGGTTGCAGTGTGGTGTCTTTGTGTTCTGTTCTTTAATTAGGGACAGGTTACAGTACTGAAGCAGAAATTCAGGTGGCCTGGTGTGTTAGGCAGACAAGGTAGCACCTGTAACTGAGCCACGGGCTGAGGGAACCAGAAGGGTGAGTGGCCTCCATGTACCTCCCACAGTGCTGATGGCACTAGCACCTGGCTTGAGGAGAACCACTGTTCTTGCCATAGGGAGCTGCAGAAGCTGCCAGCTGGCTCCTTGCTACATCCAGCTGTTGCCTTGCTCAACTCCAGAAAACTGCTTCTCTATGTTCAGTGCAAATGGAAGTGAGGTGATGTAACAGGAGGTGAGATGAGAAATCAGCCCCACAACTGAACCACTGTAAGAAATTTTGCACACTTAGACATGTTTCAAAGTCAGTCAGGTAGCTGTGGGAAATAAAGCCTATGGTGCTTTGACTCACATCTCTACAAGCTACTACTAGGAACTACTACTAGGCTTCAGCTACAGTTCTTCTGTTTCACACCCCAGAACACATTAGGAGAACGCTAAGGCTATTTAGTGAAGCAGAAAAACTGAAGAGAATTATTGCTTATCCCAAGCTCTAAGGAGTGCATTCTAACAAGGAGAGTCTGTATGAGAAATCCAAAGTAGTTGTCGTGATCAGTCTTCCTCCAAAGTTTATCAGAGGTGTGAGCTCTCATCCTTAGTTAAGCAAGGCAAATACAGTGTGCTTAAGTTGCTCTAATTTCCTACTTGTATGGTACAAACTATCAAGTAAGCAACTTAGATAGCTGTGGGACAACAGTTTCAATGAAAATATCCCCCAAAATGAATTTTGCACTGACAAATAACTTTGAGGCCACGTTCTACCACAAGCTTCACTTCAGTCAGAGAGAAGAACTGCATTAGATTGCACTCCAAGGAGTTAGGCAGAGTGAAGAGAGTTGATCAAAGTAATGCTGTCATTTGAGAATAAACTGACATTTATTATAACAATATATTAAATTTTTACAATAAACATTTTACAATCCAAAAGTTAGTATCAAAATAAACACTTATAGAACTTTACCAGTTGTCTCATCTCTGTACAAATACATAAAAGAGGTAGCTTTAAAGGCCACAGCAGCATTGGAAATGGCTTTTAGAAAGTTTTGTTGACTTAATTAAAGCAGTTTTGGAGAGCAACAAACAATAGATTTGAACAGAGTTGTCACCTTTGAAGCAGACAGACTACAGGTATAACACACAGGGAAAGAGATGCTTGTGTTTTGTAAGAAAAGAGGATGAGAAGAATGAGAAATTCACCAAGAGTTTTTCTAGCAAGTTTCTACTGTATGAAGATTAAGTGGATATTTTAAAAAAGGAAAAGCACCACTTTCAATTTGATAACATTTCAAGGGTTTTTTTCTTTTTTTTTTTTTTTTTTTTGAAGTATCATTCACATGCCTAATTACATACACTTCAGGTTTCAATGCTTTTAACAGATTTTTTGATGGAAAATGTATTCAGGATATTCTGACAAAAGCACTAAAGAAAGGCCCAGGACAAACATCTACATGACAGCGAGCATCAATCCACTTCTTTCCTTACCTTCTCTCTCTAGCCTTACCATAGTGCAGTATGCAGGATTCACACACTGCATTTGTGTTTAAATCCTTCCTAGCTATGGGAATGGCAAGCATTGTGCCTCTAAGGCTTTGCATTCAACTGTGCTCATTCCACTCCTTTCAAGAGTGGATATTTTTTTTTTCCCCAGCACTTTACTTCCAAAAAAAAAAAATCAGCAAAAAACCCCAGACTTACTGATTTTTCTATATAACCACATAATCATTAATAACAGCTCTAGCTTCCAACTTGGTATATCACAAAACTTTTATCAGACCAGAGATCTTCACTTGAAACAGGAAATGCTACTAGTTAAGAGTCAAAATATCTTTTTTTTTTCTTTTTTTTCCTTCAACTCAATTATAAAACAGCACCGTTGAGAAAAAAAGAAGGCAGTTTTGGCTTCTTGAACATTCCCTCTCAGTGCTCTTCTGACTTCATTTGGACCAAAATCAAGGGTGAGCACTGTGGTTACAGACCTTGCGGTGTCACAGCCACCCCCTGGTCTTTGCTTCCATGTGTGCAGATGCATGATGCTGCTTGATGTTGTGATGCAGTTCAGCCAGTTGGCAACAGCCCACCTCTAATCTTCCTCTAGAGAAGAAAAGACGGTTATAAAAGATGGTTATTAGGACATGAGACACCTCATTTTATAGACAGGAATATTTCAGTATGCTGCTTTAAAATTCAAAGGAATTAATTCTACTGTTGCACTCTAATGCTGTCAAAAGCAGAAAATACTTAGTATCACTGGAAATCTCAATGTTATTTTATCTTTAAAGCAAAAGACTAAATTTATTTCACAGATAGCTAATCATCATGTGCTTTCAGCTGTATTCTGCAATGAAATCTTTAAAAAGAAACAGCCTTGAGGGCACACAGCAAGCATGACTTCATTCTTCTCAACACAAAACTGTCTTCAGCTCATATAAAATACACACCTATGAGAAACAGCAGCATGAGCTGCAAGTCAGCTCTGTACATTTCTGTCCCCCAGGGCAAACAGGTCCATCCCAGGTACACTGCATCAGACTGATACAGGGCAGGCGAGAACTCTGACTTCAGCTTCGCAGTGCACCCATTATCTAGGCTGCTGTTTCAAAAAATGTACCGAAACCTGATCACATAGGAAGCAGGCCAGCAGGACGAGGTGGTGGAGTTGCCCCTTATGTGAGCGCACGTGCAGCATGTGGAGCTTTGCCTCTGCTGGGCAATTGGCAGAATAGGAGCTTGCAGATATAGATACCAGGGCAGACTAACGCTGCGACTGGGGTGCGTTTGCCACAGCCTGCCTGATGGGTGGAGAAAATGGATGAGGCCCTTAGAGGCAGCTGTCAGCCACTCTGACACCTGAGCAGCAGCACAAGCACAGTGCAAGGGGGTTCTGCACAGCACTGCTGGAGGAGGAGCCCACAGGGGCAGGTGTGCAGCCGGGCCCGACGGACAAGAACTGAAACACAGAGGTCTGCCTGAGCATAGCGCCCTGGCACAGGCTGCCTGGAGGCTGGGCAGCCACCCCTCAAGCTGCCCACTTCAGTGCAACTCCAGGTGACATGTTCACGGGACCTGCCTGAGCACAGAGGTCAGGCTGGGTCATCTCCAGAGGCCTCTTCTACCTCAGCCATCCTGCAGTTCTGTTCTATGTTACGGAAACATAGGACATCCCCAAACAGAAGGACACACGAGGATCACAGAGTCCAGATCTGGGCTCCACACAGGACCATACAAATCCAAATCCTGCTAGGTTACAGCTAAATCTTATCTATACCACAGACAGCACATCAGGGGAATTCTGAGGAAAATATTTACCCACCTTTTAATAACCACTTTTGGTTTATTATAAGTAAATATTTTTTGGCATTTTAAGAACTCCACTGAATGGGGACTTACAAGCCCCCAACTACGCAAACTCAGGAAAAATTTATGAGCCAGAAACTTTCCAGAACTTAATTCTTCTTCCAGTGAAGAATTAAGATTTGCACAACATTTATTTCAGACTAATGTGTTTAAGGCCTTTAACAACCATCAGCTGTGCAACAGAACATAGTTTTCCTTGCAACTGAACCATAAAAGCCCTCCTAAAATAGATACAGTAATCAAAATCTTAAGTTGGCTTCTCCATTTTTTTTCCACAGTAATTACTAACCACAGAGTAAGACACAATAGTGTAATTTATAGCCTCACGAACAATGACCACAATGCAGCACACAGCTGCACACACGCCCAGTTTCCAGTGCCACAGGGTTTGAAAGCCACAGGCTTTCTTCCTCTGTGGACTTCAAAGTTTTCACAGTGATTATGAGCTCAGTTGCAAAGAGTACTGCAGGTACACTGAAATTAATTTAAATGCTCTTCCACATTCTAACCGCCTTTGAATGGATGCTGACTACACTGGTCCTGCCCACTGCAAAACCAGCAATGCAAAACCAGTACAGGAAGGCAGGCCCAACACCTCCCCTCATGTCAGACAGCTGGTCAACTCTATGCCAGTGCTGCTGCCTGGCCTCTAAGCACGTCCTGCACTCACCCACTCTGGTCTAATAGCCTATTACGAAATTCTCCCCATTTGTCTTCTCTATCCCCTTCCTACAGAAGCAATTATTTCACTTAACAGAACAAGTTCTCTTATTGCACTCAGGCCCACACAGTACAGGAAATGCTGCATCAGAACCCATCAGATTGATCCATAAGTGGCTTACCGATATAACTCTTGTGAGACACAGTCATAGAGCTCCTCAGCAGTAAATGTTATACTGCTATTTATCTAAAACAAAGAACAAAGAATTACTGCAGTAATTTCCCAAGTATTGCACACCAATTAAATTATGCAGCTAGTATAACAGATACTGTTACTGTATTACTTAACAGGCCCTCAAGCTGAGACTACACATAAAAGAAAAAAAGTCACATTATGGAGCATAAAATCAATTATCACTATTATGAGCGCATACAACGTGACTGACAAATACCACTCCAGTTCTGTTTTCTAACAATTCCTGCAAAAACACACATCTTCCTTCCCTCTGTAATCCTGTAGCAACCACAATAAGTTCTGACTCACTTTAATTCCATGAATACAGTCATTCTATACGTGCAGGCCTGAAAAACAGTAATTTCCTCTATGGGAAAGGATTGAAAATCTGAAATATATGTGTATTCAGTGGAAAAACACATATATCATATTGTAAGCACACACTTGTTTCCTCTTCTTAAAATCCTTCAGCACTGAAAAATTCAAGAAGAGCTGGTAATTTCTGTTTACCCTTTTTTTAAATTTTTCTGCCAACTGTAGCCAATATTCTCCATAGTCAAACACTCTGTCTTCTAAAAATGCTTATTAGGTCAGGCTGTTTTGCTGCCTTCAGCTTCGAGGCTTTTTTTATGAAACATTCATAACAAATGAGTGATCCAAAAGTCATGGAAGCAACTCAAGTACTGGTACAGATTCTAATAATTTTTGTAGGTTTTGCCCAAGCAAGCATCTTGGGTCTAATATCTAGTAAAGTGAATAAAAGCTAATCTTCAAAATTCTAGCTTAATGGAAATGAACTGCTGAGACAGCTAGCCTTGTAACTACTTTAAATCAAAATGAACTGAAATAGAAGTGCACCTGACAAGATGTTAAAGAAAACTTCATACCTCATGGCTTATAAGGAAGTTATACAGTGTCCAAATATCTTGGAAACTACTGTTTGGGGCCAGAACTCTGAAAAAGAAAAGGTTTTGGTTTTTTTAAGTGTGCCAAATGAATCCATGAAATAATTAAAAACCAGCAATCAGATATACACTTCATAAAAAAAAATTAGTTTCCTTAAAGAAAAAATAAACTATAATTTTTGAAGATTTTTTCCTCCCACTCATCCCTTTCAATTTTTCTAGCTAATGCTGTAACTCATTCTCTCCAATATTTTGATGCACAACCCAATTTTTACATTTTACATCCCATTTTTTCTGCTTCTAAGAATAACCTGTTCAACCCAATACTGAGAAGTGAAACTATGAAACTATGACAGCTGCAGAGGGTTTTTTCTGAAGGACTTGAAACTGCATGACATACTAGTGCTTTATGCAGGCACAGAATGCATAGGACAGCCCACAGCTCCTCTCCAGAGCCCAGTCCTTGCATGCACGCTGCAGGCAGAGCTGCCCTCTGCTAGCTTTCACTCTCCATGCTGTGTCATGAGGCTGAAGGATGTATGCCTGTTACCACAAGGATCCAAAAGTGAACCAACAGAGAAGCAATTCTCCCAAAGAAATACTTCTCCTTCCTAACTTCATTTGTATTCACAGGGAAAAACCCACAACATTCTTGTATTACACTAAACATCACATAACACTTTTCATCTGTTAAGAAATCCTGATAAAATTCTGCCTTATGTTAGATTTTAAGTAAATAAATTAAGAAAATTACTCAACTTAAAAAAAAATTATTTGGGAAACTATTTACTTTCCTGGTCCCCGAGCTGCAGGCAACATTCAGTGGTTATGAGGAAGCCAATGATGCATCTGTTTAAATCCCCAAATCCTGACATCAATGAGAATGCTGCAGACCCAGTGGGGGTTTCACAGAACACACGCTACAAGCTCAGAGCAGGCAACCCTCTCCACTCCTACCAATCCCACGTAAGGATGCTGGGGGTGAGAGCATGCTTATTTTGGTACTTGGTGCCAAAGTATACAAGCAAGCTGCTCATAGCATCGGCTCCATTTACTGAATGTTCCCAGGCCCCAGCTGGATGAACGAGCCAGCCGTATTCCTAGTTCTCTGAATAAACTCAAGTAAAATGTGTTAATAAGCAAATAAATAACAACATTAAATCCTGCAATGGACTTTATATAGAGATAGTTTGGACAGTCACAATAGTTCCTCCTGGGTTTATAACACATAAGAAGAGACCTAAGATTTGGCTCAAAGCGCTACAATATCTTCAAATGAAAGACAACTGTTTAAGGATGAAATATTGCAGTACATGAAATTCAGAAAACAATTTGGTGAGAGAAGAGCCTACACATTAACTTCCCCCACAAATCCTTAACAGGTCAACATTCATCCTCCTACTGCTGTTTCCAGCTAAGCAGCATTTGGGCTACAAGTTGCAGGAGCACATGGGCAGGGATTTTACACTGCAGCTGCTATTTTAAAATCCCTTCACATTCTTCCCATCTCCAGTAGCCACCATTCTGTTCTATGGAAAGCAGAGACTTTGTAGGAGACGTACATTTGAAAATCTGAACGTTTTCATACACATTTACTCTGCACTTATTTAACCACTGCTGCTGCTTCTCTCCTAACATTACATCAAAAGTACTTCAAAAGGAAACCCATGGACACCCTTTGCCTTTCCTATTAGTTCAGCTGTGCAAAACCAAACTACGAATGGCCCTCTGTCACACACTGCAACTTCTAATTACTCCAAACACTCTACTCTGAGCAACTGTTGGCAAGGCTGGAATGCCATGAAAATGCAATTTGTCCTGGCATCAAGCCGTAGCATGGGTCTATGAAGATTTCTGAATACGAGTAACAGAAAGGGCGTGTTACACAGAGATACTGAATGCCAGTACGGATGCCAGCTACAAAGTGGGAGCTAACTATTACTTCTGGAGCAGAGGGAAGGAAGGAGAGAACCAGACTTAACAATTTGTACCTCAAAAGCAACAAGGCTTCACACCCCATCTGGGATGTTTGTTTCCCTCCTGGCATCAGACAGCTGGCAGGACAAATGCACTCACAGGTATGATATCAAGAATGGACAGGAAACAGCTCATGACAGGATTCCACACTTGGCTGGGAAAAAAAGCAAAGCCTATTTGGAAAGGATCAGAAAATTTACCCAGGGAGAAGAAGAAAAACACAATCTGGCAAAGAAAGCAGGTCAGCCTGCCAGCCACTCACTCACAGCCACTGAGCTCATGGACAATGAGATGTAAGGTATACGGACACAAAGCTATAGCAGAACGTGCAGCAGTCGCTCTCAAAATTCAGCCTATGTTCACTCTCAGCATTCCTCCTCCCTGAGCTGCACAGAGACCAGTGCTGTTCGGCTGATGGTGCTGTCTGATGGCAGCAGCCCACCTGATGGACACAGGGCTCAGTCACAAGGCTAAGAGACTTCACTGCAGAAAAGTAAGCTTCTAGATATGGGCATCCAATCTTCTGTCTTATCTATGGTACAGTGAGTGAAGAGGAATTGCCTTGGGCAGCATGTAAGATATGCAGGACAGTTAATGTTTACAACTAACATAATGTATTCTTATGTTTTAATAAAAATATATAAAAAAAGAGAAAACCCATAGAACATGTGGGATATTTGACATTGTTTTTGTGAAACCAACACATCAGTCTGGTTGAATGGAAGGTATTGCAATTGTCAGTAAGTTCTCAAGGTGTTTGTCTGAAATTTTTGATGAACTTTTACTCCTCCTGTATTTCACCCTTGACAATAACTGTTTGCAAGCACACATAATAACCAAAAGGGATGACATGAATCATACATGATAGTGAAGTGTGGGGTATTTTTCTCTGGTGCAGTGGAATTCCAAGGTCACGGCCCCAAGCAATAGGTGAGCACATGGTTGGGGAGGTTGCAGACACCCTTCTGTCTCAGCTATGTGGGGCTGAGCAATTGATCCTGCATTGCTCCTTACATACATTCACAACTATGATCCTTTTTCTTTTACTTTTATCTCAATCCATGAGTTCTGTTTTGTTTTTTCCTCCAGTTCTGTCCTCCATCCCACTGGAAAGAGGAGGAGGGAGTGAATGACTGTATGGTGCTTAGCCACTTCCAGGTAAAAACACAGAAGTCTGGCAGAGAGATACCATCAGATTTGAATATCTGACTGCTACTCTATACATTGCATTTGAAAATTGGAAAGCAATGTTTTTATGCCAACTGAAAATGGACTTACAAATACATTAAAAAATTGTTTTTTTTCAGCACTCTTGAAATCTCAAATTCCTTTATCAAAACAAGGCTGCATATCTTTCACTGCTTACAGGACCATCTCTAGCTAGTATGTCAAAATGCATGAAATTGTTTGCCACAACTTGGGTTAGCACTCCACTACACCCTCCCCATGCCCTGGTTCCAGTTCAGACAGTGGAAAACGCACATGATGAGCTGCTGCCGTGATGGTGCAAGGCAGTGGGAGCCACTGTATGGGCTGGGCTAAACTGCATGCAATTGACCTCTGGGACGTGCCTGGCTTAACCGTGTAATGTTCTGGTTAACTTCGAAGTCAGAAGACAAGAAAGGCAAAAAAGAATAACAGATGGAAAAACAAAACTTCTGTGCCACCTAAAATCTTGGTAACTCAGCAATTCCTCATTACACCGCTACAATAAGGGACAACAAGCAATTTAACAGCTTTTCTTCATTCGTCAAGGATGTCTTGGGTTTCACATAAATAATAACAAAACCAACAAACAACTAGTGCTAGGGAAGTCCAGTACTTTTTCAAGTGGGACTTTCTCTCTGTTTTACTTACAGAAAGAGACGGCATAAGGAGAAAGACTGAAAGTAGAGCTCTTAACATAGGGATATTCTGATGAAAATAACTAAATATCTTAGCAGTCTCAGGGAAGAAAGAATTTACTAACTACACATCAAGAAAAAAAACATCTCAATTCCCTAAGAAAGACTAAGGAAACAGTTTCTCCGCATCTGCTGAACTGTTTTCAAATCAATAGGACTGTTTTAAAGTTAGTTAACCGCAAAACATCCAACTCAGAGATAAGATCGGATACGATAACACTTCACTGCATTTCTGAGAAGATCTCTAATAAAGTTATACTTTAAAATTAAAAATGTTTAGATGAGAAATTAATAAACGAGTGCTTTCCAAATTGTACATATATTCAGGTTCGTACAATTCAGGTTACTTCCTGCAGTAGGTAGCAGATACCTGCATACCTTGCATTAGTACAAATGTCTGAGTACTGTAGCTAACAGTATTTGCTGTAAGCCATTTTTTGTGAGCAATTTTGAAGTTGGCATGTGAACAAAGTATTTTTTTTTTCTTAGCATACAGCTTAAAAAAAGCAGCAACCAACCAGAAAGAACTACATAAATTCACCGGAGACTAAACACACTTCTGATGTTGAAAGGGACTTCATATCTAGATTAACTTGGTCAGGAACCACAACACAGTAAGGTTCCACATAAAGGCATGCAGACCCTCAAATCAGGAGTTACGCTCAGTCGAGTGACAGTTGGTTTACACAGACACCTTCAGACACACACAAATGCTGCCAACAAAGCTTTCAAAAGGTTAAGGAAGCTGTCTGATCCTAGCATTCCAATCACTATGTTAAGGGGAAGACCAGCAAGTCTTAAGATGATATTTCAGAAGACTAGCCATAAAAGGCTGCAAGCACTTCCAATCTACTGGCACACACCTTGACTTCAACAGGTGAAGAGTTAAACACATCCTCAATGCGTAGAGAGGAGGGAAGTGATGCAGCTCCAATACATCCCTATCTTCCAGTACCTACACCCCAGCAGCCATTTCTTGTGATGCATTCTGCATTTCTTCAAACAGAATTTCTGAAGAACTAATCATCTGTGACAAATACTTAAACTTTTCTTCCCTCCAAACATGAAGGGCCCAAATACCTTCCAATAGGACCAGTGAAAGAACTTTTAAAGTGATGAAAAACTTGGCACAAACTTGGAAACCTCAAATCGCATAAATTCTTCTGTTGCCTCAAAGAGCTACTTGAAAACCAAAAAATATTTCAAGGATCAGAACCCACAATGGGCCCCTTGTAAACTAATTCAAAATAATATCTAACACAACTAACACACAATACTCAATACTAGCGTAAGCCATTACTGAAAAGATGCAGAAATACTACTCAATGCAATTAAAAACAATTTTTATACTTTAGTTACATAAAATGACTTGTGGACTGATATAATTGCTTTGGAATAAGTGAAGACTGCCAACAGACTTTTCTTCCTACTCTTCCAGCCTTTGGCATTTTATAAATAAGGTAGTACATTTGCTTTAAAGCATTCTGAGAAACACACAGCTAATCTCCAAAACGCTGAGAGCAATGGATGAGGTGCTGATTTTTGGTAATGCTGCAAACCTGAGAAACATTTCATGGCTTCACAAGTAGACATACAAGCTTTGGAGATTTAATCATCTTTCTTTGTTGTGAATCCATGTAATGCACATGAGCGTGTACCATGCCCTTCTCTACATAAAGGGGAAAGGAGCCATTTGTGCTCACTTCTTAAGCAGTAAATCTCAAGAAGACAGTGATAAAACAGGAGCTCCCATGATCAGCTCCCACAGTCTGAGACAGCTATGAAGTAATGTTCTGTTTGCATGGAGCCCTGCTGCCAACAGGCAGGTTACATACAGACACTAGCAATACTGGTTATTGCCTTTACTGTAATGCTGCCCAACATCTATGGCATGCGGCACATTGCCACGTAATTTCTGTTCTGCTATCAATACCCCTCTAGGAAGAAACAAAGATAAAAGTCTGTACTGCACGACAGAAGTCTTGAGGGCAGGGTAAGATGCACAGAGCTACTGGTGAGAACTCGCCCAAGCAGCAGCCTGTTTTTTTATAATATCTGTATTTGCCACAAGCATGTTCAGGTCGGGAGGTCTGGACAGACACAGCAGTGTTGCAGAATATGTTTGCTTATGAGGAAGTGCACAGTCACACACTTATGTCAAGAAGAGCAACTGTGTTTTTCTAACTGTTTTTAACAACCACAAAGCCTGAACTTCTAATGCCGCTGAACTTTCAACACAACTTATTTTTTAACATTCCAAACTTTCCACAAGTTTCTTTCTTATTTGTTTGAGATAGCAAGGAACAGAAGCTACCATGATTTGTCACTAA